CCGCGACAAATAGACCCGTAATCCGATGCGCCATAGGTTTGCCTTTAGTGCCCACCAGCAAACACTCAAGTGGCCCGCGGTACCAGTCGCGCATCGAATTTGATCGACGTCACATCGCAACGTACAGACGACTTCTTCCCTAAATCCATGATATTCCCGTATATATTTTACCATACCGCCACTTCATCACAGCTGTCAGCTCCGAATCCATCCCAGAATTAACAACTGCTAGGATGCCTCCAGGTTTATTCCCAAAGTTCGGCTGTTCCGGTGCTAATAAGCCACGGAAAAACAAGCAGCTGCCGCGCAAAACAACTACGCGAGTTAACGGCTGCGCAGTAATATACAATCCATAATTACTTTCTTCCCGAACGGGTAAGAAGCCAGACGGAATATTCTAGGATTATACGTCAGCCATGAAACAACCGCCGCCGTGAATCCTCTATCTCTCCTTGAGGCTCCCCTTCCTTCATCATACCGAATTCCCAAGCAACGATTAAAATACTATGACGCAGCGGTTTAAATTTTCCGACTGGGTACACCAAGTCCCCTCTGTCCCCTTCAAGAATAGATGACTGTCCTAGTAAAACACCAAAGAACCCCAGTTGGGGCACCTGGAGCTGTTCGCTGGAGCTCACCCCTCCGTGTCTCTGGGCGTGATCGCATGGAAATCGTGGAGTAAGTAGGGAGATTCCACCTAATCCCCTCGGTACCGTGACACAACCGAAGATTCCGGGTGTACATCTGCGACCAAGGCGCGAAACGCGCCACGGTTACCGGCAATTACGACCGCAACCTATTTTCACGAAGCGACTATAGGTGGTTAAGGTGATGGTGGTGGGTGGAGGGCTAAGGCAACTCGGCATAACTAATGACAAGGAGATAAACGGCTCGGCAAACGACGCGTAACGAGCAAAGGTGCCGTGGAGATTCTGCGTGGAAACGGACCGGAAATTCCCAGGGGAAGCCCCTTGTCAGGAAATTGTTAGAAACCCCGACCGGCGGAAGCGGTTCTCCTGCGGAGACGATGACGGCCGACTTGGAAAACGGAGGAGCTGATGGTACGCATGGCGAGACTGCTGCTTGGTGAATGTTGTTGAGGCGGTTTCACGTGGAACGTGTATTTTTGGGAAAATTATCACGAAAATTTGGCTAGCTTCGTCCGGTGGGTCAGGTGACATGTTGGTATAGTGCCTGGCTGAGATATTGTGATTTGAAGGATCAAAAGTATTTGACTTTTGTGAAGGATACAAAAAGTAGCCTTGTGGAGAAAGTAAATGGGACCAAATATACTGAAGAAGTAGGGGACAGATTCAGCGACTTGGATCCTCGAGGGTATCACCTGCCAGAGTCACATCTGAAGTCACTATAGCATGCGAGGCACTGTACTAAGTGGTACTATCTCTTGCAGAAAGTGTATTCGATCGAATAGATGGAACGTTTTGTTGTGGAAATTACTCAAGATATTCAAATAAAACAATATTTTCGCTTGAAGTGAAAGGAATACATGGAAGCCATCCGCATCCGAACTGATAGGGAGACATAAGTGTTCGGATAATAGAACAATCACTTTTCTGATACTGGAAATTACTAGGATATTCAATGCAAGCAATATTTTCGCTTGAAGTGAAAGGAATACATGGAAGCCATCCGCATCCGAACTGATAAGGAGACGTAAGTGTTCGGATAATAGAACAATCACTTTTCTGATACTGGAAATTACTAGGATATTCAATGCAAGCAATATGTTCGCTTGAACTGAAAGGAATACATGGAAGCCATCTGCATCCGAACTGATAAGGAGACGTAAGTGTTCGGATAATAGAACAATCACTTTTCTGATACTGGAAATTACTAGAATATTTAATGCAAGCAATATTTTCGCTTGAAGTGAAAGGAATACATGGAAGCCATCCGCATCCGAACTGATAAGGAGACGTAAGTGTTCGGATAATAGAACAATTACTTTTCTGATACTACACTTCATTTATTTGAACAGTATTACTGTCGTATTCGAATGAAACAGTACAGTAATTGAAAAGCCTTCCAACACTCATCGAGGATTTACTGTATTTTTCATTTTCAATACATCGATAAACTATTGCTACAGTCAGTGATCAGGTTAATTCATTCGATTAGATTACTTTTTGACAGAGTTAGTAGTTATCATTGTTGATGCTCTTAAGTGTGCTTTCTGTTATCCTGGAAGCAACATACTGACAATTCAGTTAGCACAGCAGCTAGCATCATCAGTGGATCGAGGGGTACACTAATACAGGTGTTTCATCATTGTCCAGCCAAACAATTAAAATCTCTTGATGACGACTATCAAACCGTAACACGAGCAGAGTGTACACATGCAACAATGTCACGGTGCAGTTTAAATAGAAACGATAAAAAGATCCGTGGATTTCGAATGTGGTTAGTAGTACATTTGGTGGCTTAAGTAGTTCCCGTGTTTATCAGTGAGCTTCATTGGGCACCAGCGAACTTGTAAGCACCCTTCTCCTTCGGATACGAGTTTGATAACGGGGAATTAAGTCGGCGGGATTAGCAGTTTAACTTAACAAATTTGGCGCTACGTAAGTACCAACGGCTTAACTTTCCACTTAATTTAATTACCGAACAGCGATTCCTGCCACTTTATGAGACGATCCGCTCCCTATTTAATCCCCTCGAGCGGGCAGAAAAATGGCACATCCGCGTGATAGTCGAAATATCTGTTCATTTAATTTCTTTAATTTCATCTTAATCATTACCACTTTCAATTTCTGCATAACACGAGTCGTCTGTCTTGCAGCTACTTTGTACTCATTGGCACCTTGTAAACATATTTCAATGGATACTCGAGACATAGAAATTTATAGATGTGTCAATCTGTCCGTAAGTACAGACAGTGAGCATACAGGTAAAGATAAGAAAAACTATAAAGATAAGACCATCAGCAAAAATAATGTAAACCGACATTCAGAAAAACTCACTTCACTACTACTTATTTACTGTTACTACTAATTTACTGTTATTCGTTACTTCAAGAAAAATTAAATTTACACATCCACAATGTTTGAGGCACATATGATGGTCCAGGAAGTGTTACCATACACCTAACAATTTATATTTTAGAAAAATCTCTGTAAACCCACATTCAGAAAAACTCACTTCATGCTTCAGATTCTAGTGCCTAAACGTCCAGTGAGTTACTACTAATTTACTGTTATTCGTTACTTCAAGAAAAATTAAATTTACATATCCACAATGTTTGAGGCACATATGATGGTCCAGGAAGTGTTACCATAGACCAAAAAATTTATATTTTAGAAAAATCTCTGTAAACTCACATTCAGAAAAACTCACTTCATGCTTCAGATTCTAGTGCCTAAACGTCCAGTGAGTTACTACTAATTTACTGTTGTTCGTTACTTCAAGAAAAATTAAATTTACACATCCACAATGTTTGAGGCACATATGATGGTCCAGGAAGTGTTACCATAGACCTAAAAGTTTATATCTTATAAAAGTCTTTGAAAAGAGGCAATAGTATAAGTCTTCTTCCTTCTAGCGCGTATCATTAAGCACACACACAGAAAGAAAGAAAAAATTCGTACTTAACAGATATGCAAATTTTTACATACACTACCAACATCATAAATAATCCCACCCATTACAAGGACCGATTACCGTTTCACAAAACCAGAATCTCTCATCACTGGCCATGGCAAACGTCTTTCAAACTACGCATTACAACACTTTCTCGCCCAATTATCATCGAGTAGGAACAGAAAGGAGCAAGGACAAGTCCAAGACTCACAAGGAGTGTATTTTAGGTGTCCGTCTCCGATTGCTTTGGTTTTCGGATATGTTTTACAGGACCGAAAAATAAGAGATACGTATTTTTTTATGGCGGCCCGTTTTCATATTTAGGGGGTGAAACCACCCCTCAAAGTTTCGACCCGGAAGTACTATCTCGAAAACCAGAGGAGATACATGCAAACTTTCAATTGGTGGCTTTCATGGTTTTTTATGTACAATAAACTGGTGTTAACAAATTGTCAAAAATACAATGTGTTTATAACAAAAAAATTTGTTATAACTTTACAACTTATTGAAATTTGCGTAATGACATAAAATGTCGAGCACTTAATTCCAAATCCATTGGTATATTTATTTTTTAAATTGACTCCTTAGTCTCGCAGTTTTTTATTATTTATATCCTGTGCGCACGCCCGCTCTTTAAGCTTCAGATTGCCTCGGTTTCGGAGAATACAAATATTATCGAAGACTTTACGGTTCATATTTGTCACAAAAATGATATTCATGAAAAAAATGTTTTAAACAAAATGCTTTTTTACACCAAGAACATTTAGCTATCGGTGTTTCATCACAGAGTGCACATTTCATTTCTATATTCTCTTCGAAAGCAAATTCTACAGGATTCACAAAATCTCCTAACTTGGTTTCTGCGTATCCACTTTTATACCAAGAATACTGGAATCAAGTGCTCGTGATTTTATGTCATTACGCAAATTTCAATAAGTTGTAAAATAAAGTTATAACAAATTTGTTTGTTATAAACAAATTGTATTTTTGACAATTTGTTAACACCAGTTTATTCTACATAAAAAACCATGAAAGCCACCAATTGAAAGTTTTCATGTATCTCCTCTGGTTTTCGAGATAGTACTTCCGGGTCGAAACTTTGAGGGGTGGTTTCACCCCCTAAATATGAAAACGGGCCGCTATAAAAAAATACGTATCTCTTATTTTTCGGTCCTCTAAAACATATCCGAAAACCAAAGCAATCGGAGGCGGACACCTAAAATACACTTCTTGTCAGTTCGAACCCGACAGCGCTAGAAACCGGCTGACGTGTGAATCAAATATTTTCGGTCCGTACGCTTGTGCGTTATGCAATTGTAACGATATTATATCTACTCGCGCATGTTTTGCTGGCACAGTAAGCCTAGGAATTCCTAACCATGAGTGTCATTTTTTATCGAACGATGGACAGTAGACGGTTCTGGTCTGGGCAATTGGGCAAACGTGGCTATGGTGGATGGCTAATGACGGTGGTGATGTTGCTTTTCGTGGCTATCTGTGGACTGAATGCGTCCACCCCACGTGTGAAAACGAAATTCGGCGTGGTTGAAGGTGTGTGGGCCAGAAGCGCAAATGGCAGGATCTTTGCCGAGTACTTGGGTATTCCCTATGCTGAGCCACCGATTGGGGACCTGAGGTTTAGGGTGAGCTTCATAGACACTAATTCATATTTCAATTTTATGGCCATGTGAACTGGACATGGAATGATAGGTATATCCATTAGTCACCTGTCCAGTAGAACAGGTGACTAGTAGAACAAGGTTTGTGTTAATAGGGAATTTCGTTAGACCTGTTGACTGCTAAGTTAGCACCCCTAAAAGGGCAATAGTGATGAAATCGATTTTGAAGTCGAGCAAATAATTTGCAGATCTACATTTATTATGGAATTTAGTTATAAATAGCATAGCAGTAAGTTTGCTAGCATTGATGGCAGTCTTAGATAAATTCAGGACTGATCTGTGAAGTCGTATCCATGTCTATCATTTTGGTATTAAGTTATTGGGTAACTGACTGATTGGTGCGCTTTGGCATAAAGCAAATTATTAAATGAAAAATAGTTTCGATCGATGCGTTGAGTTAATTTAAACATTAGAATTGGAGGATTGAAACCTGAAGATTAGAAGCTTAGTTTCAGTGTGGTCTGTAAATGAGAGGTTATTATCTCCCAGACAATTTAATTGTTTTGGTAAATAAGTCTAGTATTAAAGTTTGAAACAGTATTGAATGATAGGGAGAATTCAACGCACAGGGAATCATAACAAGGCCAGTACATAGATAAGACGTAATAGAATTGTCCTACAAGGTGGTATAATATTTAACTATACGTTTAGTTGCTAACGAAAGTTAATGTTGTGATATCTATGAATATTATCTATGAGTAATGGGCCGAAAGGTCTCTATCTTTCTCAAATTGTCTAGACTTTATTTAAAATTCAAAATACGATTACGTTTCCTTCAGAGTCCACAGCCTTGGAACCACACATGGAAAGGTATTTATAATGCCACAAAAGATAGTTCCAAGTGCATCCAACCGATCTCAAAAGAACGTATTGTCGGAAGTGAAGACTGCTTATATTTAAATGTTTATGTACCTGTGGTAAGCTTTCCGTAATTATTAACAATAATTTACTAATAATACCCTCGGCAAGGGCGATCATACGTTAGAAATAAAATATGAAATTTTTAATTATTATAAAATCTGGGGTACAGCGACAGTAATCAGTTCTACCAAACTTTAAACAAAAGTTTCTTCGCGTGAACCATAGTTTAAGTATTCGAAAATTGGACACGAGATCGATTGGTTCGGAAGGGCCGTACGCGATTTAATTAAATTTAATTATTTCAAGGTGACGTCGCCGTACCTTTAATGAGCCGACACGCTGCTTTGAATAATCATTTACACATAAAACGATTCAAATCGAGGCCACCAAAAAGTACATTTAAAATCGGGCAACTTATATATACTTATATGTATACCCTTGCACGTATATACACAGTAAATCGTCGATAAGTGTTCGAAGGCTCCTCAACCCTGACAAGGAGAGATCCCTAGGTATACCGCTGACTTTTTAGCGAAATTTAGTACAGTGATAGAGCATAGAATGTTGAAACCAATGATATTTGTTTCAGTCGCATATGGCCATTAGTTTATGAAAAATTTAAATGTTTAATGACGAGGAACCTTCGAACACTCATCGAAGATTTACTGCACATGGTCGCCCAAAAAGCACGGAATGGATTTCGATTTATAAAACAGTAGCTACAGACTTTGCAAATACTTCTTCAGATCCCAGATAAGGAGAAGGGGAGCAACAAACTTCCAGTTATAGTGTTCGTGCACGGCGGAAAGTATATTATCGGTGCCAGTCACAGCCAAGAATTCCCACCAGACTACATGTTGAATCGAGATGTTATTTTAGTCTCTATGAATTATCGCCTAAACGTTATGGGTAACAAATATTTCACAAGTACAGTAGCCCCCGCTTAACAGATGCATTTTTTCCTATTTATGGGGGTGCCCTAGTGTACCCTCACGAGTAAACTCGGTTTCCACTAGGAGAAAAAGTGAGATAGGCGAAGGGTCTCTTACCAATTAGTTTTGGGAGTTACTGAAATTTATGCCAAATTAACATTCGGTTTAACATTTATTTAAGTACTTGAAATAAATTTACCAAGTGATAGGAGGTCTTTCTCTTACGCCACGTTTTCCCTAGACCACTTGCCTCCCCGGATAACTGTCGCAACGTGGACCTGGAAGCATGTGTCAATTAACCTGGGAAAACTGTATTCCAACCGCTTCCGAATAAATCGATCATTCTGAGAGTCCCGTTTGTCCCCAGGATTCTTCACCACAGCGAACAAAGTCTCCCCAGGCAATTATGGCCTGAAGGATATTTTAATGTCGCTGCATTGGGTCCACGATAACATCGAGTCCTTCCATGGCGATTCGAATTCCGTGACGTTATGGGGCCACAGCGCTGGAGCTGGCGCTGTTCACGCGATGGCCTTCACCAAGAAAACGGAGGGACTGTTTCACAGATACATTCTGCAGAGCGGGAGCATATTCGCCACCTGGGCTGTGAACTCTAGGTATTGGATGAGACAGGTTTCGCTGGAGGTAGCCAGGCTGGTAGGCTGTCTGCCCCGTGGCACAAAGAACAGCACGAAAATCGTGTTGGAAACTGAGGAAAATCATTCGAGGGACCATTATGTAGAGACAGAAACCACGTGTCCCAGTAGGACCTATGAAAGGTATTACGATGAGCATGATGACGAGGAGATATTACGTTGCATGAAGTCCGTCGATAAGACGACGATCGTCAGGACGGTGAAACATTTCGTGAGATTCTTAATTATATTTCTGAATTTTATTGGTGGTTGCATATGAAGTGTCGTTTTTATTGGTTGGTATATTTAGTTTGACATGGTCACCGTTTGTGTGTTAAGTTAGAACTTGATCTGTACCTACTTTTTGCTAGGCGTTCATATGCAAAGACCTAACGATGACATTGTCCTTCGCTATTTTGTTCATTGTTTAGTTTTCAACAGGATGTTTGGCAACAGAATCCTTGTTGCCCCTTCGGACCCGTGGTTGAAGAGGAATCAGCAGACGCTGTTATAACGAGACCTCCTTTGGTGACTCTCAGAAAACGTCTGTTCAGAGATATACCACTTATAGTAGGTGTCACAAGGGACGAAGGATTCATGAAGACTGTGGGTATGTTATTAAAGATCAATCGGATATTTTTCTTAATTATTCAATTGTTTGAAAAATCCAGGTTTATTGGACTCGGAGAAGGAACTGATCGACAATATCGATGTATACTTGCCGGTCCTGCTGGACTCTTATCAGTTAATCTCCAACATGTCTGCCTTCCTCGGTGCTGTTGAAGAATTTTATTTCGAGTCGAATCTTACGGGACGACTAATGCAAAATATTACAGAGGTGCGTTTTGTGATAAGTTAACGTTTAACGGGCTCATTATTATCGTTCTGTTGAGTTTTTTTTAAATATTGAGTTGTCTCTCAAGAAAACTATATTTAAACTACAGTTACAGTTGGACTATTAGTGAGATTATTAGGTGAACTATTACTTAGAATATTAATTGGACTATTAGTTAGACTATTAAATAGACTAATAGCGTATTAGTTGGACTATTAGTTAGACTATTAGTTGGCCTATTGATTAGATTATTAGTTGGGATATCAGCTCGGCTATTAGTTAGAGTATTAGTTGGACTATTAGTCAGAGTATTAGTTGGGCTATTAGTTAGACTATTAGTTGGACTATTGCTTAGATTATTAGTTGGGATATTAGCTCGGCTATTAGTTAGAGTATTAGTTGGACTATTAGTCAGAGTATTAGTTGGGCTATTAGTTAGACTATTAGTTGGACTATTGCTTAGATTATTAGTTGGGATATTAGCTCGGCTATTAGTTAAGCTATTAATTGGGCTATTAGTTCGACTATTAAATAGACTAATAGTTAGAGTATTAGTTGGACTATTAGTCAGAGTATTAGTTGGGCTATTAGTTGGGCTATTAGTTAGACTATTAGTTGCGCTATTAGTTAGACTATTAGTTGGACTATTGCTTAGATTATTAGTTGGGATATTAGCTCGGCTATTAATTAAGCTATTAATTGGGCTATTAGTTCGACCGTTGGACAGACTAATAGTTAGAGTATTAGTTGGACTATTGCGTAGATTATTAGTTAGGATATTAGCTCGGCTATTAGATAGACTATTAGTTAGAGTATTAGTTGGGCTATTAGTCAGAGTATTAGTTGGGCTATTAGTTGGGCTATTAGTTAGACTATTAGTTGCGCTATTAGTTAGACTATTCGTTGGACTATTGCTTAGATTAGTAGTTAGGATATTAGCTCGGCTATTAATTAAGCTATTAATTGGGCTATTAGTTCGACTATTAAATAGACTAATAGTTAGAGTATTAGTTGGACTATTAGGTCGGCTATTAGTTGGGCTATTAGTCAGAGTATTAGTTGGACTATTGCGTAGATTATTAGTTAGGATATTAGCTCGGCTATTAGATAGACTATTAGTTAGAGTATTCGTTGGACTATTAGTCAGAGTATTAGTTGGACTATTAGGTCGGCTATTAGTTGGGCTATTAGTTCGACTACTATTTGCGCCATTAGTTAGACTGTAGTTTACGGTTCTCCCTTCTTCCTCTTTTCTTCACAGACTTCACTCAATGCTCACAATGCCGATTGTCAACAAATCCATATTAGGACAGTACAGTAGTGCTATCTATAGATTATCGTAATATTCTTAGATAATTGTTTGTTAATAAAGAAATCTGTTCCTAACTCTGTCATAGGCGACCGGTGATGCTGTAATTATATGGCCAACGTATCAGGTGTTGAGACGTCAATTAGGGATGATGAATTCGAGCGTTTACTTTTATGTCTTTATGTACGAGGGCACGTTTAGCTTCACCTTCCATACACTACCGCGGAGATACTTCGGTGAGTAAAATTGATCGCGTACTATTGCACTTCGGGAGCTCGTTTATCATTCCCGACGAGTTTCGACTGATTCTGTTTAGGTGGAATAATATTAATTAACATTTAATCGATTGCTTTGCATTCACTGTCACACTTCGGTAACATTACCTGACGTTTTAATTAGTCCTCGAAGTTGTGTAAATATTGATCATAATTTTAATTGAAATGCCAGCCGATGAAAAAATTCAGTTTGTGTCGGTCACTTATGGCCGTCGCAGTATTATATCAATTACATTTTATCATTTTAATATCGAGCTCATAAAATTTTATTGTCCGAGTCAAATTTAATTAATACAATCGAGCATAAAATCCGTGGGCCAACGTTACATTTTGCAAAACATATTTTTTCCAGGCATCTCACACGGTGACGATTTAAATTACTTGATGCCTATGTTAAACAGAGAATTTGGCGATGAAACGTTCCACAATACGGAAACTGACATCGCTATGATAAACATAATGACCAAACTGTGGGCCAACTTTGCAACCACGGGGTAAGTTTATATGTTTCGCTACCATTAATTATTTACAACAATTAGTTAAAGTATCGTTTCTAAAGAATATTTTTCATCAATCTACTTTTAATGCTATCAGAGTACCAAAGGCAACGGGAGTAATCGCCTGGCCGGAATACAAAATTGCCCATAAGTTTCTGCGAATCGGAGTGGACAAAAGGCCAGAAGTCGTCTTGGACAATCAATTCCTGCCCGATAGAATGAGATTTTGGGAAGAAGTAACAAACAATTTCACCGTAAATGAGGCGGACTTTACAGACGAACAACCACCCGAAGAGTCACCACCAGAGAACCATTCCAACATCAACATGGGCAACCTGCTCAGCGGCTCACTAATATCTCTGTTACTATTGTGCACCATTTATTTATTCTAAGACAAATGCTTTTTATGTTTTTATTAATGAACAATCATGCATCGTAAAATAAAATCGAACATTTTCACCCATCAAAGCTTCTTTCACTCGTCGCATAGTGGTGCATAATAAATTATTTTTTTCAAATCGGCATCCTCGACAATCTATACACACCAAGATTCTTCCGAATGAACTCATTTCCTAAAATTTCGCTTCGCCATATTGGATTTACCACACTGAATTTCGAAAAACTAACTTTAAATTCGTAACCAGCGACCGAAAAATCCCCCGATAATGATAATCTTAATAATCTGTTTAATTGTCACCTTCAATTTTTCGCAAATACACCTATAATTTTTTTACGCCTATCTATTAGAGGATTTCAAGACGAATTCGAATTCGGTAAGTATCATAACACAACATGTGTTAGGTATAAAAAAATTATAGGTGTATTTGCAAAAAATTGAAGGTGACCTTGAAAAATCATGGAAAAAAAAGAGTTGACAAAAAATTTGCTATAATCACGTTAAAGCTCTTGAAACCATGCTATGCCTGATAAAAACATTTTCGATCGGATTGCTAATAACAGAGTAATCTCTACTGATCACGATTCGTGGTTCACCCTGTATATTTTAAAGTATATACGAATAAATACTGTATATTTTAATATTCAACGAGCACTCATCGTGGAATTACAGTATCGCTGTGCGTCACCCAACATGGCTGCCACCGAAAGGACGACGCACCAAAAGACACACGGGGTTTTCGTTGAATAAGTGAATAGAGGTAGATTATCAGCGGTCGCGGGTACCTCCCAAAGGGCGGTCCCCGGTTCTGTAATAAGACGGAGCACTGCTAATATACGAAAAGCATAATGGAATTCCGTGGAAATTAAGTTCGCCGTGTGGAGAGTTAACGCGTGGATAAAATATGCAGACGGTCGGCTTCCTAGGGTGGCGCTCGGGGAAATTAATCATCCGGCCTAGGTAACCGGTGTTTGTCTTCTTTTCCGTTTCCGGTCGTATCTCGCGGAAAGAAATCGCGACGGTGTAATCTTGGGTCGGAAGCAATAACTATGTAATGACGACAAATTGAAGACAAACGCCAGTCCCGTCTCCTCCTGGAGTCCCCCCCTGACACCAGGAAGAACAGAAATATTCAGGTGGCCTGTTCTAGGTGCATCACCCTATACAGTAAATCTTCGAATAGTGTTCGAAGGTTTCTCGGCATCCCCAGATGCTTTTTAATTAGGTTTAGTTATATTTGTTTCATGAAATATTTAATGTTCAGTGTTGAGGAGCCTTCGAACACTTATCGGGAATTTCCTGTATATCGACCACAACTGACTCATCCACGATCTGACACCGTTATTCTCAAGCTTTCAATTCCCCTTTCGATATTCCCTATCGTACCATAGACTGGTGCTGCCAATGGCTTCTGGAAGGGTCAAAGGAAAAATTTTTCCGAAACGCTTGTAACGATATATCACGCGAAACACTCGGCCAATCACAATGCCTGTGGGTGAATAAATTGCTCCCGAAGCAGTTCATAATTAAACGTCAGCCAGATAACCGGTCAAACAAAGGCGGTGTATCCCGAAACCGTTCCCGCGATATTACGTTTCCGATGAAAAGAAGAGCAACTTATTCCCCCCTGGCCTCCTAACGATCCAGCGAGCAGGCTATTGTTTTGAGGGACGTTTAATTCAACGCCCCGGGCGGGAAAATAATTAATGACAGGACAAAGAGCGGGGGAACCGCGAGGCGTCTTAAACGATACATTACGTCTGCCATTCACGGAACTCGGAAAGATAAAGTAGCCTTTTCCTGATGCTGATGGGAATAATCACGGCGAACTAGTCTTAAGAGAAAACGGCGTTCAATTAAGGTTATGTTTGGGTGTCCTCTGGCGGCCATATTTGTTGCTAGTTACAGGTGTCGCCGCCAGGTGTCGCGTTGATTCGAAAGAAAGAAGTAACAATACTTCGAGTAAATAATCTTGGAATTTTTGGTGTACCATCTCAAATTAATTTTAGTTTTCTGAAGCCCCACCTAATCTGTAATACCAACACCTTAAAAAGTCTGCGATTTTAGTGATCTCTGTGTTATGAGAACAGTGAATCTACGTTATGAAAAAAGGGAGTAGAATATAAAAGACGCTCTCTGTCTAAATCTACAAATTCTGTCTGGCACATTTTTTTATATAAACAATAGCTTAGAGGATAAACGTTTAAGTAATTATTTAAATGTTTAAGGCTTCGGGAGCAATCTTTCCTCTCATCCAATCGAGCTGAAACTTCACACAGATTATTTCTTTTATTAATTGGAACTATTTTTAACGGGTGAAGGCGAAAGAGATTCGAAAATTGAAAATAAGAGCCACCTTAGTGATCAAAGTTCCCTCTTGTAAGTAAAGACACGACGCAAAGCTAGATTCTACTTACTTTTATAATCTCTTTTCAGTTGTGACAAACGAAATTCCAGTGTTACTTCAAATTGTCGAAGGATCGTGGCTTTACAAGTTTCGAACCGGGGGGAAAGGCGGATGCTGGTCGTGTACCACGATAATGAGATATCCACAGACTCGGCGGAACATCGCTGGAGGGACAGGATGTAATTGGCAAAACCCCGGGAAAATCGAGTCGCTTTCTCGATAAACAGCACCGTTGCTTGCGTCGGTTAATCATTTTTGAGGTGAATCCACAACTGTAGACCCAATCCGCCCCGTCGAGAGTCTCTGTGAACAACTTGGAAGTAAATTAACCTGGTCTGAGAATTCGTAACAGATCAAATTTAAGCTTAGAAAACAAATTTATTCTATATAAAGTCATTCTGAAGCCAACATAGACCTATGGCATTCAGCTATGGGGCACTGCCATCAATTCCAATATTGAGATCTTACAACGATTCCAGTCCAAGACTTCGAGATTCATCTGCAACGCTCCTTGGTATGTTAGAAAAGAAAGAATTCATCATAATCTGAAGATACTAACAGTGAAAAAAGAGGATCCAGAAACTCAGCAGTCGTTATACAGGGTGTCCCAAAAAGATGGGACAATCTGCAGCATGCATATTCCTGATGGTAATACAAATCGAAAAGTCCTTTACTGTTCCGTAATCTGAAGCTACATTTCCGAGATATCAGTAGTTACACGAACTCCAATCAGCTGAGCGGTTGGCCACAGATACGCTCAATCAAATATCATTGGCTTCAGAGTTTCAAGCTCTACCAGTGCGTTAAACTTCATTAAATAGTCAGCTTTACACCTAGGGACCTCTGTCAGTGCCGAGGGACCGTCGGACACTCATCGAGGATTTACTGTACATAATGTCTTATTTCTTTCAAACCACTCCACAGGTCGCAATTTTTCAGTAAATATGCAGCTCTTTTTTAAAAATTCTTCATAATAAAGTCCTCTATCGATCTGTGCAGCCTAAATTTTCAATTCCGTTGCTCATTTGTTTATATTTAGTGAAACATACAGATGATCAATATCAGGGGGACTTTCCGGTCACTGGTTACGAATTTGAAGTCAGATTTTCGAAATGTAAAATGGCGAATCCAATACGCCAAAGAAAAATGTCCGGAAATGAGCTTGCGAATCAAGGATTTACTGTAGTTCAATAAATAAATAAAAAAACTCGTAATAACCGTTTTTCTCAGCGTTCCAGGAAAGTGTCTACCATAGAGGGAGAAAGACCAAGAAAACAGCGATATATATTTTATAACTGTAGTCCGGGGAGACAAAGCGAACTGGCAAGGCAGATGTGATGGCCAGACCGCGAGCCCAGCCAGAGGAAAAACAACGCGTTGGATACTTGAAACGGGACAACACAGGGCAGAGGGCCGACACAGAGGCCAGGCCCGTTGATCGACGATTTGCATAGACAAATAAGTTCGAGTTCTGATGAGCCGCGTCGCCCTGGGTATTTACCCAGCAGTCGAATAATCGTTTTACGAAAGGGGGTGGGGGGAGATGGGTGCGATTTCGAACTACGTGTTGAAATGTGCAAGTGCAAACACGAATAGGGAAGGGGCTTTCGAACGGTGGAGCACTGGCCACTCCGGAATTTCCTCTCTAGACAGGACACGGGGTAATGGGAAAGTTCGAGGGTGAGAACTCGAGCCGTGTGTTGGTCCGCGAAATGGTCACGGTTTGGAGAACCTTTCGAACACGCGTATTTCATTGATTGAATTTGTTCCCTTAGACGTGCTAAAATAAACTTCACGAGTCCGTGTCAGGATCGCGTTGTAGCTACAGGCGCCTAGTGCGGGGACGCTACCGCTAGAGGGCCACGATCGATTACCCTTTCTCGCAAGTGATCGGTGAAAGCTTACTGATCCAAACGATTTTATATATAAGTGGTTCTATAATTTTTGTCGTACGACCCTAGTAGAAAGGGCAGGAAAACTGACTCAATCCTTTTCAGGTGCATATCCTTAGTCCTGTAGCTAACACGTCAGTTTACTGTGAAAAATCGTAGTTGAAACGGTGTACCATGACGACTCTCCCAAGACGTGGATTTTAAGTGATTATTTATTACTCGAAAGTCAGGTCTAGGGAGGACCTACGGAATATGGTGGGAGAGTGAATTGGTATGCGTGAAAGTACGTATGTAGGGGAAGTGTCCCAGGCGGCAATATATGAAGAGTCTACTTTATCTGGCATTATCTTGTGACGTCACACGAGGGCAACTTGCTCCATTATCTTTACTTCACTTCCACTCGTGGATCCGTATATACAGGTCGTATTTATACAAATACAGGGTGTCCCAAAAAGATGGGACAACTCGCAACATGCATGTTCCTCATGCACATACAAATCGATAAATCCTTTCCCATTTTCTAATCCGAAGCTTCGTTTCCGAGATATTAACAGTTAAACGAACTCCAATCAGCTGAGCGCACGTGTGACCAACCGGTCAGCTGATTGGAGTTCGTTTAACTGTTAATATCTCGGAGATGGATCCTCAGATTACAAAACGGTAAAGGACTTTTCGATTTGTATTTGCATGAGGAATATCCACATTACG